TTTTTTTTTTTTTTGAATACTTTCTTCATGTGAAATCCAAAACGGATTATATGCTTTCAGACATTTTTGCACTAACATATGTTTCATCCGAGAGATCTTGATTCGTTCCATGAACGTGTATTTTTTTCGTTCCGCTTCTTTTGCTTCCCTTTTTAGACGTCGTTCTCTGCGTTCCTGTTTGGTAAGCGGACGCTTCAAATTTCGCTTACGCTCTGCAAAATCAAAAAACGTATTTACTTGGTACTTGAATGACGACCAAAATGGGACTTTTTTCCCGATCCTCCTTTCTTTCCAGCTGCTGACCCCACAAACATATACGCAGCTCTTCCACTTTTTTCATAAATCTTCCAAAATTCCTCGGAAAAGAAGAACACATTCCAGGGGGCGATACACAAAAGACAAACGGAATAATTCTCAATTTCAAATAATTACAAATATTTGCAAAAAATTATTCTGGTGAGCAACTTCAATGGGCCTGATAAACCCTAAATACGGTACGAGCTATTTTTCTGGCCTCTGCAAAAGGCAATCAAAGCGTATATGTTTACAGGCTGACGAATCAATGCCAGGTTTTTGTTCGGTCTGTGTATACAGCTAAGGGATGAAACACAGACTGCATCGTGAAATGTCTTATAATACATGACAACTAATTACAATCTTCTTATTCCATTTTTCATGCAATACAAAACGTGAACGAAGAATATTCATAGGAATTTGAAACATTCTGCCACAATTTTTACCTGTTCCATTTAGGGTTTTGCGAAATACAAATTAAGAGCAAAAAATGAGCAAAGTTTTGTCTTATTCAAAAAGTACCTCTGAATTGCTGTAAGATGGGAATCACTGGTCGAACAAGACTGAACTCCGTTCGTCCCAACAAGCTCCCGCTGCAGCACGTCACTACTCCATTCCACAGAGCACCGGACATAATGAAAATTATGTTTTTCTAAACAAATATTACCAGTCACAGAATGAGCTAACACTTCAGCCCTCATTAAAATCTTTTTCCTTGGAATTTGCGCAAAACGATCGCTGGAACAGCCCTCAAACAGAGAGTGCGCGTGTACGAGGGGGACAAGGTAGCAGCCGAAGAAATCCAGGAAAGAGATGGGCGGCATCCGCAAAAGACATCCTCAGCATGTAGCTACACATCTGTAAAATTGAAGTCGCCAGCGTAACCCTCAATGCAATCCCAACATGCGACACGTTGATAAGCTTTCACTGCTGCACAATGCTCCAATGAAAGCTCGGGAGACCAAACTTTCTGACTACGGGGCGGAGGAGGGGGACTGCCGGAGGGGTGGGGCGGGGCG